TGAATTCTTACGTGGGCATTAAGACTTGCTTTTTGAGTGAAGCTTATTCCACACTGTTTGCATTTGAAAGGCTTCTCTCCAGTGTGAATTCTCAAGTGGACTGTCAGGTTTCCTTTTCGATTGAAACTTTTTCCACACTGTTGGCAGGTGAATGGGTTTTCTCCGGTGTGAATCCTCATGTGGTTAATAAGGTGTCCTTTTTGACTGAACTTCTTTCCACACTGCTGGCAAGTAAACCGTTTCTCTCCAGTGTGAATTCTCATGTGGATTTTAAGGCTTGCTGATCGATTGAAACTCTCTCCACACTGTTTGCACGTGTAAGGCTTTTCTCCTGTGTGAACTCTCATGTGGACATTAAGACTTCCTTTACTAGTGTAACACTTTCCACACTGTTGGCAGGTGAAATGACTTCTAGTCTTCTGAGCTCGTTGTCGTGACAAAGTCTTTTCAGTCTGAGAGCAACTAAAAGATTTTCTCCAGTTATGAAAGCATGTTTGTTCCTTTTCTTTCAGTTCTTGCTTCTCCTCCTTTAGTGACTTTGGGTCTAAGGTGAAGAAAAGACAAATAAGCCCAGTTTAAAAGCACATGTAAAGCATCAAAACCAATGCTGGATCCTACATGCACTAAGCTGCTCTCAGAAACTCTTCTCAATATTGTTAACTTTTAGCTTTTCATTCAGAAATGAAGCCCATCATAGCACAGAGACGTAAAACTTGTCTGTTTCATTCATACTCAAAGCAGCCTCAAGCAGAAAATCCACTGTAACTGCATAAAAGAAGATAGAAACGTTTTGAATGAAGAAACATGAAGCGACTGAGACGACTGAGACAATGTATGATTTATCTGTGTTCTTAAAACCACCTCGGCTATTTTAATAATAATTTATAATATTTATAATACATTGCTAATTGATAAAGCCTTTTTACAGTATAGAATATATTTTCAGCATAATTCCGTGACAAGAATCCACATCACATCACAAACTGAAGTTATTTTAAACATTCGACTTGTGGAGTATGTTATAATGTTCTCTTTTGTTGGACAACAGGTTTAGAAACGCTTCTCATTACAGAGGAAGATGTTTGATGTGCATTGCTTTTTCAAATGCTCTTTATTAGGGCTGCCCCCTAATAGTCGACTAATCGTTAGGCAACCAGAAGAGGTTTGGTCGACCAAAATTTTATTAGTCACAGAAAAAAATAATAATCCACAGGCGAAGTCACGCAGTCAATGACAGATAGATAATTAATGGCTGGTCTATGGCAGAGGTCCCCAACCACCGGGTCGCGACCCACTACCGGGCCGTTGAAGAATTGTTACCAGGTCACAAGAACGTTCTAGTAAAAATGTGTATAGATGTGACGCTCTTATGTATTGCGCGTTAATGATTGTTACAATTATTCTGTGTTTATCGTTGTATGCGATTGATATGGAGTAGCAATTTGACGATTTCATGTTAAATTAGTAAATTAAAGATTGCTCTGATCTGTCATATATTAGGGGTTAAACGGAGCACAGTTGATCCGTGATACGTACAGATGAGACCCCACAGTTCGGAACTATTCTCTAGCCGCCGCGCCGCCATATTGGTAATCCCCACTATTCCCATACATTCCATTGAATTAATAGGAAATCGTACAAATTTAATGGGAAAACATCACCTAACAAATCAGTGTTTTTAAATCTGAAGTATCTCTGTACATTCTTACAATGCAAACATCCTAGGCATGTAAACGGTAATTTTTTTTAATGTCGGGAATTTCCCATACTTATTAAAAAGCTACGTTCATTACAGTAGCGAACATCATGAACATGATAAACATCAGACGGACACGACCTCAACATATATAACAAATGACAAAGTGCTCATTCTGAAATCTGAAGAAAGATTTATGCTTTGTATACACATATACCTTTATTCGCCTTGTACAGTTATTCATTGTTTATATAATTTTGTTAGTGTTTTTATTCATACAGTAGGCTGCAAATGTTTCAACAATGATTTCATTAACAGCATTCATTTTGAAGCAGGTAATGATTTAAACGGTGGTTAAATTAATTATTAATTTAGCATACAACATTTTACAAGGAAACAATGCTAGTAAACATATGTACGCGATCTTGGAGAGTCTGAAATAGATGTTTCTCAATCAGGACATTAAAAATATACACGGACTTGGGAACATTTCAGTTGCGTTGCTGTCTATGGGAGGGTCAGACAGCTCTCAGATTCCAGAAAGAATATCTTAATTTGTGTTCCGAAGATGAATGAAGGTCTTACGGGTTTGAAACGACATGTGGGTGAGTAATTAATGACAGAATTTTCATTTTTGGGTGAACTAACCTTTTAACCTCATTCTTTTGTCTCGAAACATAAAGAAACATTTGCACTGATGGGCAAACACAATGGCCTGATTTTGTAAATGTTACCTATCACACCTGCATTAATCATGCATTAATACGTTGGTTTGTCCAGTTTTATGCTGTCCCATCGCAAAGTCACGTCTTTTTTGATACGCATTAAGGAACTTATTCGGTAAAAGTGTTTCCATCGTAGTTTATGTGCATGTTTTCTCACCGGATAAGTCATTTATCCTACTTAGTTGAGCGCATAAGTTTTTTATGTGCATTTTTAGAATTTATGCACATCTTGGCATTTTATTTTATGCGATATACCAAAATGCACGTAAAAATAGGCTGAGGGAAACATAGCCATTGAGCTGGTGCCTATTACACAAAATAATTGTTTATTTAGGCTATTCATTTTATTTCTACATATTGTGACATGTCATAACAAATGTCCAAATAAACCAAGTAAAACCACTTTAATTATGACACTCATCAAATATATTGTTAATTTCTGTAGAGCTGGACATTTTAATGAGGATCAAATGAGTGAGTTCAGCTTTCAGAATGAAAACCAACCTGTTTGTGTCTCAGTATCTTCATGTTTGACTCTGAATGTTTCTTCAATCTTCACGTCTTCACTCTCCTCTTTAATAAACTCCATCTTTATAATAGTGTGTCACGTGGATCTCAGTTGCTTCAGCAGGAGTTTTTCTGTGTGTTTGAACACTTTGTCCTGTTTAATAAAAAGAGAATAATTAATAGAAAGAAAAATAAACGCAAACTAAATCTCTGGGTGCGTCTCAATCAGCTCCCTAGTTTACTAGTCAGCACACTGGTGAGGGAGTCAGTCAGAGAGATAGTTAATGACCTTAAATCACCTGATGAGCCAAAAAAATAGCATTCAAATTAATAAAAGGACACAAAATATATATAGAGAGTTCATAATAAAGTTTGTACTTAGTATTTGCTGATTTGTAAATCAGACTTTTATTTAGATTGCACTTTCATGAACACATTTGCAGTTGGTTTGTAAAAGTTATGTTTGTGTTATTGTTCTCGTTGTTTTGAGCAGCAGTGACTCGTCAGCGAGCGGCGATTCGAAACAGTGAATCACTTTGTGAAGCAACTGATTCAAATGACTCGATAAAGTTTCAAAAAGCTCCATTTCTCCATCACTACTTGCTAGCGACTGAATTTGTTCATTATAAACTGGTTCACGATGCAGGGGAGTCGCAGCTTTTCAGTTACTCGTGTTCAGATGCATTTTACTCACACAAAATATCCTTCATTAACATCTCTAGATAAAGCATTGCAGTGTTAAATGCCTTCTTCTTGTTTTATGCATCCAAAGTGTTAGCCTGCGTCCCAATGTGCACACTATCCATCCTAAATTATACGCGATATTAGTAATTTTCAATACTATTTAGGGCAGATAGAGTGGATAGTATGCATATTGGGATGCAGGGATATAAACTCGGTATAATTCATTTCATAAATAGTTAAAATCACACACCTTTCTTCAGCTGAATCACATCTTCAGGCGCATCCTTATGATGTCACATCTCCACACCAAAATAAAAGTCTTGTCCACGCGCCAAAGAATAGAATTCATAGAACTTTACATTAGAAAACAAATATCAGTAACAGATATGGGTTGAATCGCACAGCTATCAAAAAACCCCAAAGCTATTAATACCATTAATCTTTTTTTTTTAAAGCTGTATGTCTTGTTTCTAATTGTACTGCGAAGTGCTTTCAATTCATGATCACCTACAGAGCATTTGTGATATTCTCAGTCAATGAGAAATTCCAGTATCTTGATCTTCATAATTACAAAGGTTTGGAAAAAAACTTCTGAAGTCATAAACAGATCAAAAATGAAATATGTGGTTGTACAGAGATCTGACTATTTCATTTATTAACCGAAACTCATACAGTGTTTGCTTTTTATGACGACCGTTACACAGAATGCAAGAGATTCGCATTTTCTACAGTCCTCACATACTGCCACACTAGTTTTAAGTCATGTTTACAGTGTTTACGTTATTTTGCTGATTGATCATTTTGAACCGAGTTATCTTTCAACATATTTTCACGCTTGAATAGACAAATACACAATGACGAAGCGGATATCGTCCTCTTTTGGAAGACCAAACAAAGTAGTTTCGCCTTCACAACGAAGCACACACCGTCTTCACGACATGGCGGCAGCGGCAACAATACTACAGTTAGAATAAAAGTTACGCCTTCTTTCTTTGCTTGAACATTTGGGCGGTGTTATGCAAATCTTCCCAGATCGTGACGTAGGTATGTGGGGGCGTGTTAGAACGAGCCATTTTAGGTAGGTATGGCGGACTCTTAACTTTTATAAAGAATATCTCTTTGGATTTGAGACTTTAGTCTTTGCAACTTTACAGATCTTCTTTATGCACCAAGAGCTTGTAACACTCCAAAGAGAAAGGAAAAAATTGAAATCGCATCATATGACCCCTTTAAAATTTTTATGTCTGTCTACCTGTGCCGACATCGTGAACTCTATTGCCCCTTTGAAGTATAAAAATCATAAGCCTGTACCTGTGCCCTGGCACACGGACTTGTGGACAGGCTGAACGCAAATGGAAGAAGGACAGATTGCTGGTTTCTTATGAAGTTTTGAGGAACTCCTATAACATGTTTCAGAAAGCTGCAAAGTCGGCAAAATGCTAATATTTGTCTGAACTTATCACAAACAATTGTCACAAACCTCAAGTTCTTTTTTCTATTATTAACTCTGTCTTAAATCCTTTTGTGCACTCTTTTCTAGAGCCCTCTACTTCTCTCTGTAATGATTTTGTAAAGTTTTTTGTTGTTGTTGAGAAGATCACAACATTAAGATCCCAGCTGTCTAACTCAGAATTCATTTGGTCTGAGTTTAGGGTTAAGTGAGATGGGTGAGTGACCATGTACACACACACACACACACACACACACACATTTTATTGGTCATTTTGTGTTTCAAGAATAAGGTCCAAGGTTAAGATTTATGCTATTAGTTACTTAAATATAAAATGTTTTTCTCTATTTAACAACATTACAATAGTGAAAGACGACTTCCCTTACTGATCACGTCTCTTGCGCGGTGGGATGTTGGACTCATGAAAAACAATCACGTAGTTTGTATTCACCAAAACTGATTTACTGAAGTCAAAACACGTATGGAATTGGCGTTAGCGCGAGCGCCGCTTGCTGTGAGGTGGGAGCGACGAGCCGGCAGAGGATTGCGCAATCCTTCCTCGAACAGTTATGTTCACGATTTCGGATTTACTTAACGTATACTGCGTGAGGGGGGCTGTGATTGGATGATGACATGTATCGGTGATCATTCTCAAGTGATCAGCACTGCTGCTGTTGTATCAGTCGGTGGTTAGATCAGTGTAGCAGTCAAAAAACGGGACAAATCAATTAGGCCCAAAATACGGGACGTCCCGGCTAATACAGGACGGTTGGCAACCCTATCTGAGTTTGAACCTATTGATTTGATCTCATGTAATGAGATTGTTGGTCACTTAAAACCAACTAACTGTCCTCAGGATGTGGCACCGTCACATAAGAGACATGTTTTACCACTCTATTTATGGCAATGATTTTATGTATAATAGAGTTTTAACTGGTTTACATGTTTTCTTAAAGGGGTCCTATTATGCTTTTTCACTTTTTCAACTTTAGTTAGTCTGTAATATTGCTGTTTGAGCATAAAAAAGATCTGCAAAGTTACAAAGCTCAAAGTCTACTTCAAAAGGAGATATTTCACCTTTTTTAAAGGGGTCCTATTATGCTTTTTCAGTTTTTCAACTTTAGTTAGTCTGTAATGTTGCTGTTTGAGCATAAAAAGATCTGCAAAGTTACAAAGCTCAAAGTCCACTTCAAAAGGAGATATTTTATTTAACAGAAATCACTTTTCAAAAACTACAACGAACGACTCGTTTGGACTACAACGCATATTTTCCGGGATTTGTGATACCACAAATATCGACGAATGGGACGAGACCTGGTTGAGCTGCACTAGAGAAGGCCACGAGTGTTATGACTATGTCGGAGACACGCTAGCTTTCCCAAAACAGACGAACTTAGAGTGGTTACAATCATCCGGGTTTAAATCACGCTAAAATTGATTTGATTTTGACGCAATATTTACACTGAAGCTATGGTAAGGGGCATGACATTTCCCGACCAGGCACCGAGTGCTGCCAATCACAACACACACTGGCCCAGCTAAACAATCACAGCACACACACACTGGCCCAGCTAACCAATCACAGCACACACACACTGGCCCAGCTAACCAATAACAGCACATTTCGTATTTCAGAAGGCGGGACTTCACTTGATACAGGAACTATTCGAGCCGTTCATGCCAGACTGGGGAGAGAGGTGTTGTAATAATGTAAAATATGTGAAAAATAATGTGTTTTTCGAACAACCTAGTATGAGAGCCTGTTCTAGTACACCCCAAAAACAAAATCAAGACTTTGTAAAAGAGCATAATAGGACCCATTTAAAAGAGACAAACTGTTGTGTTTACATCATAAAAAAGAGGGTTGTTCATAATCGTCTTTCAACAAGAAACTTTTCCAGCAACTTCCTGTCAGTGTTATTTGTCTGTTCTTGACTTGAAGTTTGTTTCACTCAGAGCAAGCTGCAAGAACAGTTTCATCTGTCATGAAAACCTGTGAGTGGCTTATTCCCTCTGACACTCTGACAGGATGAACACTATAATGACAGTCTAGACACGGTGGAAGAGTATGGGGTGTTGGTGGGAAGGCAGACCCTCCATGGGGAATGAAAGAGACTGGAGCTTCAAACAAGCCCAACAAGGGATCTCTCAATTCCAGCGTCGATTCGAAGGATTGATAACTGTCAGTTCAGCCAGAAATGAAAATGTACTCACCCTCAGGCCATCCAAGATTTAGATGAGTTTGTTT